ACTCATGAAGTATATAACATAGCATAGTGTAGAGAACAATAGTGTGTACGATGTGGAGTGCTGAGAGGTATATAATGTACAGCATATTATACAGAATGGAGTAGTGTGAAGCAGGGGGGACTGACCATTTGGAAACTCGGGCACTGCCCGAGGGCCTGGGGTCAGTAGGGGGCCCCATGACATGCCCCTGGTACCTTTTCCATAGGCTTTTTTTGAGTTTGGGCAAGGACACAGGGGCCCCATGATCCCCTATTGCCCGGGGGCCCCATGAGTTATCAGTCCGCCCCTGATTTGAAGTATTTAATGTACAGCACAGTGTACAGCAATGTGACAAATATCATTTACAGCATATTGAACAGAGTGGAGTAGTGTGCAGTATAAAACATACATCGCAGTGTGAAATGAAATGGAGTACAGTACAGAATATGCGGATTAGTGTGCTGAGTGGAGCAGTGTGAAGTAGATCATGTACAGCACAGTGTAAAGAATAGCGCAGTTTAAAATGTACTCTGTTGTGTGGAGTGAAGTGCAGTAGAATATGTAGAAATCAGTGTGGCAAGTTGTGCAGTGTGAAGTAGATAGTGGTGCACCGAAATGAAAATTCTGGTGCCAAAACCAAAATTTCAAAATGCACTTGGCCGAAAACCGAAACCGAAATGCGCAGTTTTTAAAAATGAATATATATTTTTTGGGCAAAAAACATTGATTAAAAAAGACAAAACAAAAAAATATATACTCCAATTTTTTTGTAAAATATGAAAGAGGAGTAAATCGATATCCAACATGTCACGCTTTAAAATTGAGCACGCTCGTGGAATGGTGTGAAACTGCGGTACTTAAAAATCTCCATGGGTGATGCTTTAAAAAGTTCTACAAGTTAGCAGTGTAAAGTTACAGAGGAGGTCTACTGCGAGAATTCTTGCTCTTGCTCTGACATTCGTGGCAATACCTCACGTGTGTGGTTTGAACATCATTTACATATGTGGGCATGACCTACGTATGTGTTCACCACTACGTGGGAACATGGGGGGAGACAGGGGCACGTTAAAGTTTTTTTAAAGGGACAGTGCAAAAAAACCCAAAACCATTAAATACATTTTTTTAAAAAAGTTTAATCACTTTTATTCTTATCACAAGGAATGCATGCATCCCTTGTGATAGAAATAATTAGTGACAGGTCCTCTTTATGGAGAGATATGAGGTCAATAAGACCCCACATCTCTCCTCTGTAATGTAAAGCACTGGATAAAAAAAAAAAAAACATTGATCTAGTGCTTTAAAATAAAAAAAAATGGCTGGAACAGGAAGTGACATTGCTCCAGTCCTCCAAGGGCATAGAAAGTGGCAGCCATCTTTGCTTCACTCATCTCTATGCCCAGCCCTGGGATCGTTGTTATCTCAGGTGCGGCAGCGGAGGCAGGGGGCAGGGTTTTTTTCGGCACCTGTGTCGGTGCTGTTTTTCATTTCGGCCGACATACAAAAGGTTTTTTTTTGGCCTAAACGTTTTGGCCACTGAAATTTCAGTGCATCCCTAGAAGTAGATCATGTACAGCGTCAGTGAGAGCTGTGAAAATGTGGAATAGACTCTCTCAAGAGTTGTTTCTGGCCAGCTCTATGGATTGCTTTACAAAAGGCCTGGATTCTTTCCTAGATACATAGAATATACCTGTATACTAACATTTATAGGCAAAGTTGATCCATGGAATATACAATTGCCTCTAGGGAAACAGGAAGGAAGTTTTTCCATGCAGGAGCAAATTGCATCATGCTTTGCTGGGTTTTTTTTGCCTTTCTCTGGATCAACTGTGGGTATAGGATTATAACTTTTTTTTATATGGTTGAACAAGATGAACATGTTGCCTTTTTTCAGCCAGACTAACTATGTAACTATGTAAATTGTCGAGAGACAATAATTGGGATTCCCTCTAGTGGCCAAACTACACATTTCTAAAAGTAATCCAATAACAAAAATATGGAAGCTTGTAAAACATAACAAATAGTAGTTTCCAATCAACCTTTCATCCCAAATTGGACATTGTTATAGAAAGGGTGTTTAAGATGACAGACAAACAAGATGTGTACAATATGGAGCGAAAAGTCCTCTTTCATAATAAGAGAAATACAGGAGCTGACACTGCAGACCTTCTCAAAATACATCTGAAAACATATGCTTCTGAAAATAAACTACTTTCCCATTAATAGTACTGCAGATGCAAACAGATACATTTAGCCAATGCCATTTTGAATGTCTCTTCAGTTCTTCTACGTCTTGGGCCTCGTTCACAAGAGTGTAATAAGTGTACACCTATGAGAGGGCTGTGTTTTGCCTGCACAAGTGTTCTTTGCATCTGAATGTGGGAAGTCCTATTCACATTCATTGGGATGAACTTGTTGCTACCAATTTAACAGCCGCATGGATGTGGGTGCGTGTTTCCGAAAGCAGACAATGTGAGTTTGGGGGTACGCACCTGCACCCACATGGATGTCAAAATGGGAGCAGCAGCTGTGCAATCGTTGAGTCCCTTTGACATGAATGGGACTGCCTGCACATGGATGCATGAAACCCCTGTGCATCCTGTGCAGGCAAAACATGGCCCCCACACTTAAAGATGCCCGTGTGAATGAGGCCTTAGGATACATTCACATGAGCCTACTGGATTTTTAAAGACAGAATACTTGATCAGTAAAGTATAAACAAATGTTACACTGTTCAACAGGTAAAAAGTTTTGGGCATAAAATTAGCTAATCTTACATAATTTTGGGGTGCTGAAAACGAAAATGACCCTAAAAAATGTTGATTGGCTCTAGTTTCCATGATATATTCACCCATCTAATGACGTAAGCCATTCAAAATTATGATGCAACTTCAGCTGCATATTGCGCAATTGATACTGGTGACCAATAGAAAATTGCATGTATACTGAGATGATGCAATATTAGCCTTTAATTGCATCACTTCACTGCATAAAAGCTGCAGTATCTGTAGCTGATTGGAGTTCGTCTTTACATTTCGTTTTCTGCTTATATAGGCTATCAGTAATGCCTCGAACTTGTGTGAATAAAGCAGATAATTTCTGCTATATCTGCGGTGAAATAACTTTTATCTCACAAAAAAGGAGGATAACAGGAATGATTAAGAAAGCCTACAACTTGTATTTTGGCTGCAAGATAGGAGACCAGGACAAGAGCTGGGCACCACATATATGCTGCAATTCTTGTGGGACGGCACTGGAGCAATGGTTGAATGGAAAAAAGGCATCTATGCCTTTTGCTGTGCCAATGATCTGGAGAGAGCCAACAGATCATGTTAGTAATTGTTACTTTTGTATGGTGCCTCCAATTGTAAAAGGGCTAAATAAGAAGAAAAAGTTATCTGTGCACTATCCAAATATTCCATCGGCAATACGTCCAGTTCCTCATGGAGAGGGGCTACCAATTCCTAAAGCACCAGAATCCTTCGTGGTTGAGTCAAGTGAGGAAGAACCTGAAGCGTGTAGTCACGTGCAGTTGTAAGAGATAGCCCTTTCCTCGAATACAAGAGAAAAGCCAAGAGAAGCAAAACCGACACAAACTGAAGACAAAACTAGTGAGAATCCTAAGTATTAAAATGATTCAACTTAGCTTATGGCTATAATTTTTCTTGGTAATCCTATGCAATATATTATGCCATTTAGGCTTTGTTATGTAGTCAATATCACTTGCTTTATATTTGTGAAAGACATCTATCTATATAATTATTGTGCATTATGTAGTCATTACGCCTATAGTAGAAAACTTTCCGTTTACAGAAAAACCTAGAGCCAATTGACAAATTTCATTGTTATATTTGAACTCAGAATGTGAAATTCATTAAGAAATGGATCCTTTTGTTTCCAAAACTGGCAAAAAATTAAAATTTGTTGAACGGTGTTACACTTAGCAGATGACTCTCTCTTGAATTTAAATGTACCTGCTGTTATATGTATTTACATCTATTGAGAGTGTTTGCCCTGGACCTCTGAACACAACTAAACCGAATGCACCTTAATACAGGTAACCACACCATGTGAATGGTACCACTTAAAATCATTAATTGCATTTATGTGCATGTAGAAAAGCCTTGTGAACGCATAAAATTGCAGTTATGGCATTGCCATTGAGAATGAGGCCTTGGAATGGAAACCTGCCATAAGAAGTCTAATGGCAGGATAGAGCTCAGATAGCATCACACTGTTTCTGATAGATTCCATTCCATCCTTATACCCTAGCTCAACTATTTTCAACCAGCCTTCCATGAAACCCAAGAATTGCTTCAGAGGTTGTTGGAGGTTCCTTGAGCTGTGGTTCATTGACCTCTGACCTTCTGGTGTCTGCAGAATTCCAGGTCCAACACAGCCAGCAGCATGACGCCAATGATCATTTTAGCTGTCTGTAAGGGTTCCCACTGACCACCAATGTAAAAGACATTCTTCCCACTGACCACCAATGTAAAAGCCATTCTTCCCACTGACCACCAATGTAAAAAGACATTCTTCCCACTGACCACCAATGTAAATAGACATTCTTCCCACTGACCACCAATGTAAATAGACATTCTTCCCACTGACCACCAATGTAAATAGACATTCTTCCCACTGACCACCAATGTAAATAGACATTCTTCCCACTGACCACCAATGTAAAAAGACATTCTTCCCACTGACCAAGAATGTAAAATACACTCTTCCCATTGACCACCAATGTAAAAGACATTATTCCCATTGACCACCAATGTAAAAGACATTCTTCCCACTGACCACCAATGTAAAAGACATTCTTTCCACTGACCACCAATGTAAAATACATTCTTCCCACTGACCACCAATGTAAAATACATTCTTCCCACTGACCACCAATGTAAAGAACATTCTTCCCAATGACCACCAATGTAAAGAACATTCTTCCCACTGACCACCAATGCTAAGGACATTCTTCCCACTGACTACCAAAGTAAAGAACATTCTTCCCACTGACTACCAAAGTAAAGAACATTCTTCTCACTGAACACCAATGTAAAGGACATTCTTCCCAATGACCACCAAAGTAAAGGACATTCTTCCCACTGACTACCAATGTAAAGGACATTCTTCCCACTGACCACCAATATAAAAGGACATTCTTCCCACTGACCACCAATGTAAAGGACATTCTTCCCACTGACCACCAAAGTAAAGGACATTCTTCCCACTGACCACCAAAATAAAGGACATTCTTCCCACTGACCACCAAAGTAAAGGACATTCTTCCCCACTGACCACCAAAGTAAATGACATTCTTCCCACTAACCACCAAAGTAAAGGACATTCTTCCCACTGACCACCAAAGTAAAGGACATTCTTCCCACTGACCACCAAAGTAAAGGACATTCTTCCCACTGACCACCAAATAAAGGACATTCATTCTTCCCACTGACCACCAAAGTAAAGGATATTCTTTCCACTGACCACCAAAGTAAATGACATTCTTCGCACTGACCATCAAAGTAAAGGACATTCTTCCCACTGACCACCAAAGTAAAGGACATTCTTCCCACTGACCACCAAAGTAAAAGACATTCTTCCCACTGACCACCAAAGTAAAGGACATTCTTCCCACTGACCACCAAAGTAAAGGACATTCTTCCCACTGACGACCAAAGTAAAGGACATTCTTCCCACTGACCACCAAAGTAAAAGGACATTCTTCCCACTGACCACCAAAGTAAAGGATATTCTTTCCACTGACCACCAAAGTAAATGACATTCTTCCCACTGACCATCAAAGTAAAGGACATTCTTCCCACTGACCCTGAATAATTCATTTTAGCTGGAGATCCTAAAGACCTGGAAATTATTTCAAGGGTTTCTCTGGGACAAAAAGGTTGAGAAACTCTGCTCTAGCAACACAGAGAAAATGCCATCTATAGTCTATTTTCTGGGGACAGTCAAAATCCTCCTTTGCAGTGGGGTTGCCCCTGACCTGCAAGGATTAGGTGCTCCCAGCCTAGGGAACCAGGGCACACAGTTTTACCAAACTGATGCTCTGTTCCCCCAGTGGCTGGTACTCTCCTCTATGCTCCGTCAGTGCACTGTTCCTTGTTGTCTTCATGTCCAATGCAGGGATATGGACCCTGTATTCTACTTGTTGTATATCAGAGGGCACCTGACCACCAATGCACAGGGGGGGAGAGAGGCTGCCAACACCAATCTAGCAGCATAGACAAGCCTGTGGGAGCAGAGGACTGGGTCAGTAAAACCCGAATTTCCCAATCCTCTAGACATTAGCGAGCAGTTAACTCTTGCAGCACAGGGGCAGTCTGACTGCAAAGGAGGATTTATACTTTCCCTAGCGTTCAGTCTCAAAACGAACCTCTCAGTCAAGGGAAAAAAAACTGTACCATTTCCTTCCAACAATGCTTGTTGTCTAGCTGCTCGTCCTCTGGTTTCATCAGTATCATGCATGCAGGTCAACAATTTAACGGCTGCATGCCTGCCAGAAAACTAGCATTTTCAGAAAGTGCGTTAGATAGGATAGCGCATGTATTTCTCTAATGACCATACTCTCCCCTTCTCCATACACAGACATGATGGAGAGAATAGGGAGGGATCCCTGTATCAGAGGATCCCTGGGATGATCATGATGATAGATCTGCCTGTCAGTGTCCTGATCCAGCACAGATCAGTGAGCAGTGAAGGAAGCTTGTCTTCCCCTCCTGCTGTCATCTGTCATTCCCTGTCCTCCCAGCACAATGTCACCATACCATCCAGTATGATCACATCCCCCATCCACCCCCCTGCCAGGGACCGATCCGATGTCATCAGCCCAATCTTACATGTTCTGGCTCTCCATGGGCAGAGGAGAAGCTCTGATCTCCGCTCTCTCCCTCCGTCGCCATCTTCGCTCTGGAGAAGACTGGAGTAAATGCAGTGCACCGGGTGAGAGGAAAGGAGAGGAGAGAGGAGAAGAGAGGAGAGGAGAGGACAGCCCCCACAACTAGCATAGCATTACCCACTGCCTGGCTGCTCCTCCCCCTACCTGCCACAGATTTAACCCTCTCAGCCCCATGCAGAGGGAATGCACTAGTCTTAGTAACCCTTCCCTGCCTGGGGGGCTCTGGCCTCCCCCCTCCTGCCCAGATCCAGCTGCTGCCATCACACTGCAATAGAGGACAGTGCAGAATGTCTGCACACAACAAGCTGCCTCTGGCTACTAGATCGGTGTGAAGGATTTGCAGCCCAAGCTTCCTATCAGTGCCCTGTGCTAAACCTAACCACAGCTCAATCAGGAGACATTCTAACATCCAGCCTGCTGTGGGATAACTGGGGTCATTTTAAAGCAGATAAAAGGGAAGTGATCATTTATTATTTGTTTGTATCTTCCTGAATATATATACATGCAGATTTGTTCTGTTTACTCACAATCCTACCATTGCTGATGAATCTGATCGCCTGGATTCCTGATAGGTGTGATTTGCTGCAGAGCAGACATCTGCATGGAGATATTCAGGAGAATCAAACACTTGGGGGATGTCTGATTCTATCAGCATTGAAACAATGTACACACTGCAGCAGCCTGCACACAAATGAGAACTGAGGATGGCTGGATGGTGGGTTGTAGACTTGATGGAGTACATTACTCAGATTATTAGTAAGAAAAGCCTTTCTCAACCTTTGTATTACAGAGGAACCCTTAGGGCTGGCTCACACATGAATGGCAGGGTGGTCACACTGGATCCCACAAGTAGTACTTTTCAAAAATTCACTGCACTGAATTGCATGGTGTTGTGGTACCATGCAATCCGGTGCACTGCGTGTGCGATCTGCGTTTGGGACATTGTTAGGAATATATTGACATTCACAGCAGATTGCACACTCAGTGCATTTTGAACATTCTGGTGTGAACGAGCCCTTAAAGCGCTAGTAAAGCTACATGCATTTTTTTTTAAATCCCCCTGCAAGGTAATATCATGATGCGCTAGTATGCATCACATACTAGCATAGTTTGAAATACTTACCTTGAAATGAAGCTCTTCAGTGGCGGGCTGTCACCGCTGACATGACTTCCATCTTCACCCCATCTTCCTTCCGGGTTCGCAGGCTGCAGCCATTTGAACAGCCAAGCCACGATGATGTCACTCCCGTACATGCACGCAGGAGTCACAGCTGCAGCACACAGCTCTGAAGGGATGACATGAGTATTCCGTCCCTTCAGAGTGCATGCACTGGGCTGCAAAAAGAGTGATCATCTAAACACTACAGGTTTGCACGTTTCAGAGATATTCCTTGTACCAACATGTATTTATTTACTTATTTCAGGTACTTATATGGCGGTGTCAATTTACACAGCACTTTACATACATGTATTGTACATTCACATCAGTCCCTAACCCTCAAGGGGCGTACAATCTAAGGTCCCTAACTCACATTCATACATACACATACTAGGGGCAATTTAGACAGGTGCCAAATCCCCTACTAGCATGTCTTTGGAGTGTGGGAGGAAACCAAAGTACCCGGAGGAAACCCATGCAGCCACAGGGAGAACATGCAAACTTCAGGCAGGTGGTGCAGTGGTTGGGATTTGAACCAGTGACCCTAGTACTGCCAGGCAGAAGTGCTAACCATTGAGCCACTGTGCTACCCATGTAACTTTTATTATACTTGTAGGTACAAGTGTACCAGTCATGTTTACTACTGCTTTAAAGTAGAACTAAAGGCAAAACTTATTTTTCAGTTTTGGATGGAGTGGAGAGGGAATAGAACCCCTGTCAGGCCTAATTTCTGCTTTAAAATAATGTTCAGGTTTGAAGAATTCCTGCTAAAACAATTATTTGGGGGTCAGACAGCTAAATCAATCACTGGTGTCACACAGCTAGCTCTGCCAAGTGGCACTGACCCCACAACACTACAGGGACCATCAAATGGGAAGTCAATCAGCAGCAGCTCAAGGAACCCCCAACAACCTGTGGAGGCAGGGCTGCTGTTAGAAATCACAAGGCCACGTACAGCCAACCTGACAGCCCTCCTCCAAAAAAACACAGTTTACTAAGCTTCAGTTGTGAATGAACACAATGAGTGATCGATACCGAGCACTCATTGTGTTCATGCTGGTAAAATGTGACATATATAATGGTCCCTTCCACCACTCTCCATCCTGAAGGATCCTATTGTGTGCTTGCAGCTGCTGGTAGGAAGGAGGGGAGGATAGCTGGCAGCACTGCAGGGGATGGGGGCACACAGGGGGCCTGAGCAGCATCAGGAAATGTATGGTGTACAGGGAGGGTGATATGTTGCGACAGGGGGGCAATTACTGGAACCAATCCCTTGTATGGCTCTCTCTGAAGCAGCTGAAAGCCAGTGGGGGGGAGAGGAGAAGAAGCCAGCTTACAGTTGCTGCAGAGAGAGCCATAAAGGGGTATCAGTTCCAGTAATTGCACCCCTACCGTGCCAACCACCCTCCTCGCTCACATCCGATTCACCCAGCTGCTTGGGCCCCCCTGCTGGCCTGGGCCCCGTACTGGACTGGTGGTACCCCTTATCCATTGCCCTGTGTGGAGGAACCCTAGCACTCCATGAAATCCTGGTTGAATATGTCTGCATTAGACTATTATAACAAATACTTTCAGTGCTAAGATGTGAGTAGTAGAATACTATATTACTATAGAGTACAATATTTATATTATTTGTTATAACAAATTATATAAGTAGTAGAATACTGGAGAGTATTGTATTACTACAGAGTACAAAATTTACTGTATATGGTCAGACTATTACAATAAATGCTCCCAATGCTAATATGTGAGTGGTAGAATACTGTAATACTATAGATTGCAGTATTTATTATTATTATTATTATTATTATACAGGATTTATATAGCGCCAACAGTTTGCTCAGCGCTTTACAATATAAGTATTTATATCAGTATTAGACTATTCTAACAATTGCTTACAATGCTAAGATGTGAGTAGTAGAATATCATATACTAAAAGGATGATCTACTCCCATGGTAGTCAGTGCCCACATGTGAACAGGAGGTTAGTGCCTCCTTGATCAGAAGATAGGATTAGATTGTTTTTAGCATACAAAATCACAGCTGTATTAGGATACATTCATATCTCTGCATTTGAGCTTGATGCCTTAAAATATTGGCATCTTTGGTACCATTTTTGCATAACGTACTGTATATTCCATAGAAGTAATAGGAATGCGTAAAATGCATGGAAAAACCCCCCACCACAGATTGACTGCATGTACATTTCTCTTAGACCTGGACAATTCAAACTGTGCATACAATGAAGAATGGTTGGGCGGAAAAAATTACTTCCAGTGATGTCATAATGATTAGTATATCCAAGGGTATAGGTAGCCTAATTTATATATAAAACTTTAACATTGAACATGCAACCCCTCACACCTCATTCATTTTAAGGATGACCTCACTGACCAAAAAAGGGGTTCGGAACAGAATGGGACCAAACAAGTTTAACAGGAAGTGTAAAATTTGCATTTAAATGTATCTGCATATACAGTGTATTTAACCCATATGTACACATGCTGGACAATCACAAATGGTGGGGCCAGTGAAAGGGGAACAGAGCCATAATTAGGGAACTAAAGTTCCTCTTTAACTATGCTGATCAGCCTACACTACAGAACAATTTCCAAAAATAATCTGTGACTAGATAGCAACCAGGCAGCAGAGAAGTGACAATTTAGCAA